TGAAACAGGTGCGGAACTCGTTCGCCGTTCTACCTGAACAAGCAGAAGAGAACAATCCTGGCAAAAGCCAGGGCGCTACCAAAAACTAGCTCCTATGCCCTAATCAACAAAGTTCACATTAAGACTAGAATCTGTTTTTCACAGCTAGTAGCTAGAGCTAGCTAGTAGCTCGAGGTAGTTAGTAGCTACAAGAACGCTACTGAGAGCTCACGCTTCTTCAAGGAAGCTCTCCCGTTCATTTGGTTCCTTAGATTTTTAGGGAGACTAAACTATATGCTGCGGTGCTGACGATGTAAAGACAGGACAACCGCTAGTCTTTGTCTTTTGCTGCCTAAAGGACAAGAGAAAAGAAAGGGCCGAGAGGTCCAAAAGAAGCGAAAGGTTGTTACTACTAGCGTCCTTGTTACTACTAGTAAGGCACTTGTTACTAGTAGCGATGCACTTGTTTCTAGTAGCATATAAGGAATATTTCTGATTCTGCATTGTTTGCGGCACCTGCGTTGCTGACATACGCTCATTGATGATCTCGGGCCCTTTGAGAGCAGCATCATACCTCACGATTTGTCGAAGCAACACCAGGCAGTTTGGACATGTGAAACACACATAATGCTTGTTTGACCCAGAAGGTTGTGATGTGAGATGGAAGGAGGTATCTTTGTGGTTGAAATACATCGAAAGGAAGCAGACGTTTCTTGCTTTCAAGCCATTGCTGTGATTTGCAACATGTTACTAGTAGTAAGGCACTTGTTCCTAGTAGCGTGGCACCTGTTACTACTAGTAAGGCACTTGTTACTACCAGCGCACATGCCAGAGGCTGCCAATCCCCAATTGGCCACAGGCCCCCAGAAATGGGTCGTGAGAGGCCCGGTGGGGGAGTTGATGAACGCTGCCTCAGAATCCCAACTCGAGCGATGCCAGGAGCTCCGTTCGTAGCATAAGGAACCTAATAGGAATGGCCTCCTCCACCTAGTAGCTTCTAGCTACTAGTAGCTTCTTGTTGCTCAAATCTCAAGTTTTCAACTTTCAAATCTGAAGTTTCCAAAATCACCAAATGAATAGTGCGTGAGCTCTCCTGCATCCAGTTACTAGAAGGTTACTTTAGCTACCCGGCTACCCCTCTTCTAGCGGCCTACCCCCGGGCTAAAAGATAAAGAAGGGGTAGGCCGTGAGAGGTAAGAATGGTAGCTACTAGATTCACTAGGCCGCTACTGGATGCAGAAAAAAGCCAATAGCGCGATACCAAACACGGTATTGCTGAGGGTTGCACCAAAGCCATCGGAAAAGCGTGGGGAAGAGGAAACTAAAGCAAGAACGATAAAGCAACAAAGACAACCAAGGAAGAAAGGGAGCTGCAAAGCGCCCGAGCTGCGAAGCTATGAGCCAAACAAGAAGTGAAGTAGCACAGCAATACAAGAAGTGAAGCGACTTGTTACTAGTAGCTTCTTTGCTCCTAGTAGTACGGCCAGGAGCCCCTAGTTAGTAGCGTCCGAACGCTCCTAGTAGCGATGCCAGGAGCCCCTACTAGCGTCCCTTGTTACTGGTAGTCAGCTTAGCATCTTTCAAAAGTGAAGCGACTTCCAGAAAACACTGCAAGAACGAAACAAATCGCTTGGCTTTCTCTGCAGGATACTTTCGAAGTGGCACTCCACATCAGGGTCTGACTAACTACGCTGAAACGGAGAAACAGAATTGTAGAAATTGAACAAACGCATCTTGTCATGAATAACGTTTGAACCAAGTTGGATATGAATTATGATTCCCCTTTTGAAGCTCTCTTTCAATTATCTTTCATTCTCGGAGTTAGGAGCAGCTGCGTTGAACAATCTCAAAGGCGTAGCGATCTTAAATCAAAGGCCTCAATATCAGCATCAGTTTGATGCTTCAAAATGAAAGAAGCTACTAGGATGAAAAGGAAAGAACGGTCTAATGTAGTTTGCTAAGAAAGAACGGTTCTTGTCCGATGCATTTTGGGGCCTTTTTGAGCAGCTTCGTGCGTGTTCAGACCGCACCAATCTCCTCTGCTCTTTCGAGCGACGGCAACGGGTGGAGAGACCACGGATGCTGAACTTCCAACATCGCAGCTGCGGAATCGCCAGCTAAGCAATGCAAAGATAAACACAAGTAGCGTCCGATCGCTCCTAGTAGTAAGGCCCTATATAGCTTCTTGTTCCTAGTAGCGATGCCAGGAGCCCCTAGTAGCTACTTGTCCTTGCAAAGATAAACACAAAGCTCCCGTTTCAAATGGCCAAACTATGCAAATTTGACCAAAAACGAAGCCACTTTGCGCGCGGCGCCTTCGGCATGGCCATGCCGTTTCTGGCGCCGCAGATTGCAGCGTTCACATGTGGAAACGCCAGAACGCACCAAAACTGCCGGAATGAATGGCTCCTCGCAAGCCCTCATCAGGCTTAACCAAGATCCGTGCAAAGTGAATTCGCACGACGTGCAGACCAAACTGCTGACACAGTTCCCAGTCGCTTCAAACTAACAAGCGAGAAGTCGCCATCAGCGCGACTCCCCGCAATTCCTTTCTTACTACTAGTAAGGCACTTGTTACTAGTAGCGATGCACTTGTTCCTAGTAGCTTCTTGTTACTACTAGTAAGGCACCTGTTACTACTAGCGTGGCACTTGTTTCTAATAGCTTCGTGACTTCGTTCATCTCTTCTCTCACTAAAACATGGCGCTCATATGGAGATCCAGGAGCCGCCGAACTCAGGCCGCCTCCATTTCGGTCGCTCGAAAGACAAAGCAAGTTAGTCGACGAAAGTTCTTCCCTTTTGACTCACTCCGTCCCGTCGCGCCCGCAAGAGGGATGCCCAGATGGGAGGACCTGCCAACAGCGTCGCTACTAGGAACAAGTGCCACGCTAGTAGTAACAAGAAGCTACTAGGAACAGTAAATTAGATTTTAACAAAGAATGCATGTTAGCGTCCTTGCTCCTAGTAGCGATGCCAGGAGCCCCTAGTAGCGTCCTTGCTCCTAGTAGCAAAAATGGTGACACATGTGTAACATGATGTAACATGTAAAGAACATCTTCTATTTGCGCCTTTCAAACGCTCCGTGCCTTCATAGGAATATTTGCGCCCTTGAAGGGATTGTGAAAATCCAGAGTCCACGGTTCACTCTCCTGTGCAAGGTGCTGACAGTGCCATTCCATGTCTCCTTTCCTTGTCGAAACCCGAAGCCTAACTTCTTGATCTTCTTGTTCTGACTGAGAGCTGTAGAGGTACTTGTTTTCGTTGTTTCTGCGAATAGGTGGGTTTCTTTGCCAGGCTATCTTGCTCATCATTGTCTCCCCTGTCTCGCTTCCGCTGTGGTGGGGGGGCTGGTTGTCTTCCAGGTTGTCTCATCCCAAGATCTAAAGGAACCAACCTTCTTGCGATGGCCTCCAAGCCCTCCTCTCCCTCTTTCATTGGTTCACCCAATTTGCCGAGCTCATGACTGCTCTCCCCCAAACCAAAACGACAAGAACACGCCATAACGATATTGGTGACGAATGACAACAGCAATTGCAAGTTAGGCAAATCCTGACGAAAAAATAACGACAAAGCGAAAAGAACCGGCAAACCGCATAAGCCAAGAGCAGAAACGCTCACAGAAATGAGCAGCAACCAAAAATAGCAGTGCCATGCCCCAAGACGTGCTTGAAAGGCAGAGTGGTCTGAGGATGTCTGACGTAACCCAATTGTGCACTGCTTTTTAGACACTGGTTAAATGCGTTTCCTGGTACAGGATAATTGAACAAGGTAGACAGTTGAACCCCCCATGATCTACCTACAGCTGTTTTCTGTGGGCCTGCCCATACCAAAGCTATTACTTTTTAACCTATCAGAAATCAGTGCCCCTCATTAGCTGACAACTATATGCATTTTCCAAAAGTGCAAAAACATGCTGTTTTCAATGGTCAATGGTCCGGTCTTGAATAATACATACATTAACACGTGCATTCAAGTTTTCGCGAATTTTTGGCGGGTCACACCAACTAAACCCACACCCACTCATCACACCAACTCAACTCTCAAAGCAACACAGCCCACACCAACGGACCAGCTACTGGACAAGGCCATGACAAAGCAAAGATGGAAACACGACCCGTCGGACAAAACATGGACAAGTCAAAATGTGGACCTAAGGGCGACGGCGTCCAACCTAAGAGCGATGGCGTCCAACCTA